AAAAAAAAAAAAAAAAAATGAAATGGAACTAAACAAGGCTGTCCTCTATCACCATTACTATTCAACACAGTGCAGTAAGTTCTAGCCAAAACAATCAGACAAGAGAAGGAAATGAAGAGCATCTAAATGGGAGCAGAGGAGGTCAAACTCACTCTTTGCTGATGATCTTATACTTAGAGAATCTCAAAGACTCAACCCTAAGACTCCTGGAAATGATCAAAAAATACAGTAATAAGTCAGGATATAAAATCGATGTCCACAAATCAGTAGCCTTTGTATATGCCAGTAACAGCCAAGATGAGAAGCTAGTCAAGGACATAATTTCCTTCAGAGTAGCCTCAAAAAAATTGAAATACCTACGAATATACATAACAAAGGAGGTGAAGAACCACTGCAAAAAAAAAACTATGAACCCCTAAGAAAAGAAATAGTAGGATATTAACAAATGGAAGACATACCATGCTCATGCTCGGTAGAATCAACATTGTCAAATGTCTATAATTCCCAAAGCAATATACAGATTGAATGCGATCCCTATTAAAATATCATCATCATACTTTGAAGATTTGGAAAAAATAATTCTTTGTTTTGTATGAAACCAGAGAAACCCCATATAGCCAAGGCATTTCTTAATAATAAAAACAAAGCTGGAAATATCACCCTACCAGACTTTAGGCTATCTACAAGACCACAGTGATGAAAACAGCATGGTATTGGCACAAAAGTAGAAACACTGGCATTTGGAATTGAATAGAGAATCATGAGATGAACTAACATCTTACAGTCACCTGATGTTTGATAAATCAAACAAGAAGACACATTGGGGGAAAGAATTCCTAATCAGTAGTGTTGGAAGAATTGGACAGCCACTTTATATAAAAGACTGGAACTGGACCTGCACCTCTCACCACTCACAAAAATTAATTCAAAATGGATAAAAGATTTAAATCTAAGGCATGAAACAATAAAAACAGTCAGAGAAAATGTGGGGAAAACACTTGAAGATATTGGCCTGGGGAAAGATTTTTTTTTTTTGAGACAGCCTCAAGCTGTCCCCCTTGGTAGAGTGCCGGTGGCATCAAAGCTCACAGCAACCTCCAACTCCTGGGCTCAAGTGAGTCTCCTGCCTCCGCCTCCCAAGTAGCTGGGACCACAGG